TTGCTTCAGTGTTTTTTGGCCTGACAGTAAGGCTTACCCGTAGATTGTGATGTGAAATACTTAGAACACCACTCAAAATAAGAGTAGGCCCAATTGCCTTTTTTGTGGTAAACCAAAGAAATCATTTCATTATACATTTAGGATAACAAAGACTGACCTTAAGTTAGGAGGGGTGAGGGGGGAGCACATTTGAAAATGTATTCAGAAAATGTGCTTTCCCTAAAGTGCAGCAATTTTAATCTTTAGCACTCATCTCTTTGCTAGAAATACAACCCATTTTTGTGTTGATCTTTTAAACCTGTCAGATTCCAAATAAATGTTTATGTAAAGTTAGAACAAAAAGAGTACTCAAGCAAAAGAATAAAATGCAATCATTCATTTGCTGAGCAGGTTAATTTTTAGGTAATTTCTTCTGCTTGCCTATTTTTTTTTTAATTTTTTTTTTTTGCCCAGACAAATTGAAATTCTCTCTGCGGCGTCCTTGAAAGGAATCTTATCCTGGTCGTGTCAGTGCAGGCTCCAGGCACCGTGTGTTTGGTCAACAAGCAACAGTGGGTGGTCAGGCTGTAGCACAGGACAAGGGCCCGCTGTGCGCAGGAAAAAATGTTCAAAGGTGTTTAAGGGTGGTAAGGAAGTCTGCCGCCCTTCAGAGCGTCCGGAGGCTATAGATCAGCGCTCCCTCGCCATTGTAGCCTGTGAGAAAATTCGCTGCGAGATACATAATGGATGAAAGAATACAGTGACTGTATTCACCTGGTTGCACATCTGTACAGTCGTTTTCTTTCCCCCTCGTGCTCATATACATGTTCTGGTTGTGCATTTAGTCTGTGTAATGACTGGCGTTTGACTTGCCATGGGGGATCACACTGAAAAACTACTCAGCCCGAGGCTGGCCACTTGTAAACATTTTTCTTTCTTGCTGCAAAAAGCACTAGCCCTGCGTTATCCTCAGGTCACTCGGTATCTTTTGCAAAAAGCCTTTTATAAAGCTTCAGCGGGACATTAACGCTGAGACAGGCTGACAGAGCCGCGGCCGAGGCCTGGTGGCAGCCAGGAGGCGAGGTGGGCCTGACGCCCGCCAGGAGCCTCACTCCGCTAGGAGGCAGGGGGACACAGCAAGCAGGGCCGTGGCTCAAAGGATGGGTCTTGCACTCGGTTTTGTAATGGGTTTGAAACACGAACGTCGAGCTGCTTTTAAAAGCTTAAATCGTTGATCATGGAAAAATCGTATTTTAGGCAAATTTCACGCTAGTCATCTTTTACACTGAGGCTGCAGCGTGCTATGTGCCACGAGCATGCAGACAATGATGTGCACAAAAGCTGGGGTCAAAGTGTATGTACATCAGCCATAAATACTGTAGGCATATACGTACCCTATAGCAACTCTAGTGCTGATAAATTTGGAGAAAAGTGAAAACCCAAATAAAGTAAACGACCTCGAAAAGCATCGTGCTTGTATTGTATTTTATTAAAATCCTTATTCTGGTGATATCTTACTGCACTAGAACAGGGAGGTCTGAAAAAAAAAGACACTGCATTGTTTGTATTTCACACGGTATCTGAATAACCTCAATTTTATTCTGCATACCTTTAAAATATACGTGCAAAAAGTTGAAACCCAATAAAATCTTTTAAAAAGAAAAAAATAAAGCAATTATTAAGGTCCTCAAAACTTGTTTGATCTCATGATTTCACAGTTGTAAATGTAAGAAGGATTTAATTATACTTCTTGTACTTACTTGTCATGACGAGGTAGAAGAGGAGAATGTAGTACATTTATTTTTCCTGTGTTTCCTTGGTTAAATATACACTTGGCACTGTAGTCACTGACAGATACGTTCCATGTAAATGCTGTATTTTGGGGGAAAAAATATTTGTGTGACTTCAAAGATGCAGTACGTTTGTTAAAAAACGGATGTCTGCCAGGAATCTATTTTTCGTACCGTTTGCTTATACAATATCTAAAAAACTGTTAGCAAGGTAGAAAGTTAATTTCTTTAAAAATTGAGATTTTTGCTATGCGATATTCAGGATCTAAGAATGTAGAAATAGTATAAAATCAGATAATGAATAAGCAGTAAATTATTATTTTGGTAGTTTATTTAGTTTTATAAATATTATTGTCTGCAGTTCATACTAATATTAATTCATTGTATTACATTATGCTGCTAAAATTAAGCTCATGGCTCCAGAGAGGGAATGAATTGGGATGGGAGAAAAATTGTTTGTTAAGTTTACTCCTTTTTTTTCTCTTTTTTTTTAAACACAAGATATATGCATTAGTATGCAGTCTTCAAGCGCTATCTTCTGGTCGGCTGCAAGCAAGATCAGCACTGCTAATGTAATCCAGATGTTTATTAGTCCTGAGGGTATATGTGCTGTTGTAGTTCCCTGCTGCTGTGTTATACTTGCTTGTAATGCTAGACAACCAATTAAGAAATTAGTTCATGTTAAACTTTCTTTTCCTGGTACGGCTGCAAACTGATGATGTGGTTTTTCTGGTGGAACAAGAGAGTATTCTTTACGTGTTTTCTGTTACTGGTGAATATATAAACCATTTGGACGACGTGGGGTTAGTATATCATCAGCAATACAGAATTTTTAGCTTTTCAGCTACCTCAGGCAAATGGCTTTAATTGAACTAATTCACATTAAGATGTTTTGGTAAGTGTGTCTGTTTTTCTTAATTCTGAGGTTTAATTGGCACTGTCATTTTTAGATACCATCTGTTTACAAGAAATTCCCTGTATTAACAAGGTGTTTGAAGGGTGAGAGCATAACTCCTACACGAAGACATCAAAGAGGGAAATTTTGGTGTATCATGCCTTTTTCTAAATGTAGTTTTTGTGGAAATAGCATTTTTATTTTTACGTATTAAATATATGTGCTTTTTAACTAGCAATGCCTGTGACAGTTCTGATTTGTATTTTTGGGCATGTATTTATTTTCAACCAAATAAAAGGCAGATACGAATCTCAGAGACAACTTTTTGTGGAAACCAAAGAACTATGGGAGACACGTAAAAGTTCTTAAAACCTTTTATGCAATTTTCTTTTTATTTTGAGTAGAATCTCTGCAAGGTACCAAATGCATCTCACATCTTTTTTTTTTTTTTTAATCAAAAAAAGAAGACATTGTTTTACTTTTTTCTGCACGGTTGCTGGAATGTTTTCACACAAGTTAATTATTGCAAATTTACAACATTTAAGATATGTTTTAAAAGTTAAAGGCATTTAATTCCTGAATGCAGAAGATATGTGACCTTAAACAGATCTCTGTCATATGGGCAGTTGCATAGTACATGTTCATAATTAACTATTTGCAGCATCCATACCTACTCTAAAAACTTCTGATAGCTTTATTTTTTTCCTTTCTCATATTTTTAGTTAATTCAGAGGGAGAAGTCTTTTCCCAAATCAACTTATAGTAGAAATTGACCGTGGTGCTACTTGCCCATTGCAGCAGATTCCGTATAGCTGAAAATTCATTAATTTTCAAGGTGTAATAAATATAAGCCAGTTTTAATAAGTGGTGTAGAAGTTGAATAGTCAACATATTCATAATGCAGGCCAAATATAGTCAATTAACACAATGTATCCATTGCAGTTTTTCACTATGTAGCAAATAGATCTGTTTATTTAGGTATTTTATAGTGTGAATGGTAATAACATGAAGCAGGGAACTGACAGCTCTGTAATGACAGTGCCTCCTTGAGGCCGCAGGAAAAATCTGTTTAAAAGCCATTAAAAATTATGGGAGGAAAAATTATTTTCAAAAAGAAGCAAAAAACAATGCTGTCATCTATTGTAAGTTTGCAGTGATTTTCACAGTGTTTAATATTGTTCTTTAAATCCTGGCTGTTGAAGTAAAGTGACTAGGTGTATCTTTACTACAACACTGGTCTGACAGAAACATAAATTCAGAAGAAACATACTTCAAGTCCTTTTTATTTTGTGTTATTCTTGTTCCTGTATACAGTCATGTTAGAATTAGTGCTCTTACTGTGTGGCTTTCCTGTTATTTTAAGTGAATGCAGGTATCGATGGAAAAGATCAAGCAATATAAACTCAAACTCCTAGATTCTCACTACAAAATTCCTTATGAATTGTGATTAATTCAAGTTCAGATGTGTTACAGCTCACTTGGCCAGTGCTGATATCCTTTTTGGTGGTTACTTTCAGAAATATATCTGTAAAGTGAGATGTATAAACCATCATTGTAGACTTCAAGAGAAATACCAGCAGCGCTTTAGTATGTTTAAAAACAGAAATAAAAAATCGTCATGGTCTTCTCATTATGAAATTGTTTTCCAGAACGTTTATTAGACTCCAAGTATACACCTCCACCAAGTTAGATCATTGTTTAGGGCTTGCTTATAGTGATCTACATAGGGACAAACACTCAAAGAAAATATAATTAATTTGCAAACAGTAACTGGTTCTTTGCAAAATATATTCTGTGTTTTGAACCATGTGTACATAGGGGGTGATTTATAGACATGCACAGGAATATGGAGCAATTAGTTCACCTGCTTCACGATGGGTGGATTCTTACTACCTGAATTCTGTGTAGGTCAAGCATCTAAGAAGTAGTAGAGTACTCTGCCCTTTACTGCTTCAGTTGGAGACACAAGAAGCCTTTGCAGTTGAAAAGTATATTCAGTCATATGCCAGTGTGTGTCACGTCATTAATGGTATAAATACATATTTATCCATGGCTTTCAAGCAAATAATTGTAGGGTCTTAATTGTAAAAGCTGGGAAATACAGACCAAAGAACATTTTTCGCGTGATAAGTGGTTTTGGGTTTGTTGTGGGTGTCAATAGCCGTGTTTTTGAATAGCATTTGTGTGGATGAACAAACAGTCTAAATAAGATTAAGAATGTTTTTGATAGATAACTTTAGTCTTGTATCACTTCCAAACTACTTCTGAATCCATATGCATTTTCATGTCAATTGATGTGCAAAATCATTATTACTACTCTTTTTCCCCCTCCATAGGCACCTCATTGATCCACAGCCCAATGTTAGACCTGGACAGTGACGTGCGTCCATCTCCAATTGGCCACCTCAGTCAAACTGCTTCATTGAAAAGAGGCAGCAGTTTTCAGTCTGGCCGTGATGATGGTAGGCAACTGTTTTGTTTGGAAACACAAATCTGTAATTCCCTATATCCAGTGTGCTGCACAGTCAGAAAAACAAACAGAAACCTAGATTCTGTGTGTTTATTGTTTTGGTTTGTTGGTAGACAGCAAATCTCTCCAGTCACCATTATTAACATTATGTGCTGCTATAGATTATCTTAGATCTCTGTGAAGACAAAGTCTTAGAGGCAAATTTTGAAACTTCACTCCAAATGTTTTGTTTTGTTTTTGTTTTTTGTTTTTTGTTTTTTGTTTTTTTTTTGTTGTTGTTGTTTTTAATGTTAGGAACTGTGTTCTTTCTTTTTGTGTATTACCGTTGCTTATCAAGGGGGTCTTCTGTTTCTTGTGTGTTTTTTTTTGTTTGTTTGTTTGTTTGCTTTTTTTTCCAGAAGTAAAAAGCAGTTCATTAACTAAAATCTTCGTAATTTTTTTTTCCACAGTATCAGATTTTTTTCCCCCCTTTACATAACCACCTACTTTCCTATTGCTGTTGTTACATCTTTTGTGTGCATTTGAGACAGATCTTGTATTTGCTCCTCCTGTGACTTCATATATCCAGTTCTGGGTCCCTTATTTTCTGAGCTTAGAAGGGGAAACAAAAGTGTATGACTTAGCTTGAGCAGTGTGTCCACAACCAACAGAGCCCTTGTGTGTCAAGAGTGTCTTCAGTGCACCTTGTCCAAACAACAGGAGTCTTTTAATAGTGAAATCACAGGAGTCAGAAAACATGCATTTCACAGGAGAGGTCATTTCTTACCAAGCTGCTTGAAGCTCTGAAGCGTAAGTTTTGACATAAATGCTTTAATAGTTTTATTTCAGAAAGTTCAGCATTCACACCAGTTGGGGGTGTGATATTTTGTTTTGTTTAGTTCTTGAAGCTATGCAGAAAGCAGTTTTTTATGAAGAACTTTCTGGCTTTGTTCTGCTTTGATGTTGCTCTTCTCCCAACTCTGTGGGCTTACTTGAAAAAACATCTATAAATATCTGATCTTTTCGAGCACAAAGAAGAATGAAGGGAATCTCTCAAGAGCATAGTGAAGAATAATGAAAGAATTGTACATTCTTGTGGTGCCACAGTGTAACTTTACAAGTGAGAAAATTAAATTACTTTGTGATTTGAAACTGAATGTTTGTATTTCAAAATATATGTGTATACTGAGTAATTGCATTACTGTATTGCTGTTAACTTTGTCCTTTCTCAGCCCAGAGCCTGGTATTTACAGACCAAAACGGTGAATTGCTTATTGTTCTGTGCCACCATTACTACAAGCTCTTGGTTTCTATGTAGTACTTGCATGTTTTGAAGTGGTTTCTGCAACACTATCAATACACATGCCAGACAATGTAGCAAAGCAGCATAGTTAGTCCAGTTTCTTTTTTTTTTCCTTTATTTAATTTCTTTAGCATTTCTCTCAACTTAAATAGTTACATTTAGTGAAGGCAATTTCGGTTTCATTGATTATATTTGGCTTCAGATTCTTAGTTATGGATCCATAACCTTTCACAACCTGGAAAAGATCATGTCTTCAGCAAGTTTTTCAGATTCTGTAACCAGCAATTCAAACCAAATTTCAAAGGAAAATTGGAGGATCAGAACACCACAATACCTTAGGAATCTAATCCAGCACAGACCCTAGAGTCTGAATGAGTTGCCTCTGACTTAAGTTCATTGCTACTTAGGTGCTCGTGCCCAGTGCATGCTTAGGAAGAGCTGAGGGCTTTGCTGTCTTGCTGTTCTCAGAGCGGAGATCCAAAGCAAATAAATAATTTATGATACCTGTGCACAAGATGCCATTCCAAATATGCCATTATGTACTTACTCTCTTTTCAGGCAGTATGCGCACCCTTTTATTTTTCAGAAAATTTGAGGAATGGCATAGTTTTTTTGGTTTCATTTGGTTTTACTCCACAATGTAATTGACAGTCATTGTACATGACATTCTTTTTTGAACAAATTGCTTTGAATTTGAAACTGCAGTATTCAAATATAATTCAGCTCTGGCTAGAGTGCATGTTTGCGAGAATGTTTGAACAAGAAATCTGGTTTCATCTAGTTTCATCGCTAGGATGTTATAGCACAGATTATAATAGAATAAATAGAATGAAAGAAAATGTTTCATCAAATTTTAAGAAAATCTTTAATATAGATTGGAGCTTTCTCTAGCAACGAAGTCCAAATATGCTGTTACTTATGGCCTGAATGTCCTTTTGCCATGATATGCGGTAACTTACTCTAAGAAGTATCTGCTGTCTGTAGACTTGAGACTAAGACAGCCTCTGCAATAGGCCTGAAGTATTCTTCCTGGAAGAAAAGAGTATCATGCGTAAAGTAAATTTTGTGTTTATAGTTAGGAACAGACATCCCTGGTCATAACCTTAGGTTGGCACTGGAGCTTTTGGCAAAGATGATCTGGTTTCCAGGAGAAATTAAAATCTTTTGGTTAGAAGTTGGTTTGTTGGCATTACAGAGCCTCTGTTGCTATAGCAGTGTTGGCCCGGCTTCCTGGCACAGTCACAGCCTATGTTAGTAAGAAGGCTTTTTCTGCTACTGGGTCTAGACCAGTTCTCTGACTGTCATAAACTAAGCTGGCAAAAGCACAGCTCTGACATCTGTGTGTCCACCGTACAAGTTTTGCTGTTTGAACTTCGATGTTTTTATGCTTCCTAACGGGAACAGCACTATGAGTTGAGTGTTACACTTCAGTTATGTCAGAGTCTCTCTCTAAAGAGTCTCTCTAAATTTAGGCTTCCAATGTGATTTTTGGGTTCTTGAATACTAACCCACAGTCCCTAGACTTTTTCGCTGTGATGAAAAAGAATGCTTTGGTTAGTGGAGATGTTTATCCACCCAGTAAACAAGTGGACCAATACTTGACCTGCACCTCTAGTGATGGATGCTGCTGAAGGCATGCTGTGCTTCAAGGAGATTCAAAACCAGCTACTAACACGATAAAATAGTGAGGCTCTGGTAATGTGTGCTGGTTACCTAATGTGCTATTAGGCACCTGTTTTGGCCTAAATGGTGAACTCCTATGGATGGATGATATTCTCTGGCAGGCTAAAGGCAAAAAAAAAAAATCTGCATTTCCAGAGTTATGTAGGGTAATATCATGTTTTTAATTTTTTCGTTTATAAAAGATCACGGTTTGTTTAAAAAATAATAACAACAGCAAAAAAGAAAAAAAAAACCTCTTTAAACAGTCTTTTCCGAAATCTGTTTATTTTCCTAACATTTTAAAGTAGACTTTAATTAATAAGGTGAAATAAAACAGTCTTTTAGCATGTAAAAATTGCCTGTATATCTCGGTTTGCTAAAAACATCATTATCAAGAAAGGTTCTGTGGAGATGGTGGATGGCTTTACAGAAATATTTCGTTTTCCTTTGGTTTTCATATTAATTAGCACTTTTCTTCTGCCCATTTTCAGCTTTCTCTTTACTTTCCCTCTGCCAGTCTCTTTTGCCCATTTGATAAGAAACTGAGAAAAGTTATCTGCTGCCAAAATGTAAGCTATTTTGTTTTAATAGCCAGTGCAGCAGGGCTGTAAGTAGGTTGGTGAAGTGAGAGATGTGAGAGTGTTATAAGATAATTCTGATTGTGTTCTTCATCCAAGACTCTCGGTATATACTTAGTGCTACATTTATTGAGTTTGAACAACAGTATTGGAATCTTCCCTGTTTTCCAGAGAAAAGATTTTCGCAAACAAATGGAAATGAAGATGAGAGGTTGGCAACTTTCCTCAGGCCACAATGGAAAATTCTTTGAGCTAGAAATTAAGCAGATCTTCCCATTGCCATTGTTTACCTTTACCAAACCCGTCCTAGCAGCCCTAATTCTTTAGCATCACCACCTCATCATCTGAAACTTTGAAGGTCTTGATTGGTTTTATGATACCGTAACGTTTAGTGGTTTGAAGACAGAAGACCAGTTGAATGGATTGTTTGGTGAATTGTCTGTACATTCTGTCATAGTGCTGGCACCTTGTAAGCATATGAGAAAATAAGAAAGAACTTGCATGTGTACCAATTATTTGCATATATATGGACCAGGCTGTTAAATTTTTCCACTCCTACCTGAAAGGTTTTATATCCATACTGTATAATCATTTGTGTAATACAAGGCAACAGCAAACCTATTTTATTATTTTATATATTTTATTATTAATGCAAAGTTCTTTTTTTTTTGCTTCCTCTCCCTCCCCCCCTCTTTTATTTTCCCCCTTTTTAGCCTGGCGATACAAAGCACCTCAGCAAGTTGTGTTTGTTGAAAAGTTGACAAAACTTGTTGTGAGTCAGCTGCCCAACTTCTGGAAGCTCTGGATTTCTTATGTGAATGGAAGTTTATTCAGTGAGGTATGGATTCTTGTATATAAATGACTTCTAAATAACAAAGTTCCATAATAATTAGGTTTGAAGTGTTATATTTCACTGGAAGAAGTGACTGGATTTTTTTTAATCTGAGGGGTTTATAAAACAATTTGTAAACTTCTACACATTTGAGAGATGCTACCTTTGGTCTATTACAAATGGTGACATCTAGCTTGTCTGGTAATACTAGCCTATAGAAGTGAGGTTCTTTATTTTTAAAAGAATAAAAGCATACACTGGAATTACTTAGAATTCTGCCTGTGTGTGTGTTCCAGATGCTGGAGTCAACATCTGTGTAGTTTCACCTCTTGATCGTAGGTCACCAGCTGCCCTTCTTTGGTGATCTTGAAGAAATAGCAAATTGGCTGAAGGATAGAGATATGTAAGAGACAAAGTCATAGAGGAAAAAAAAAAAAAAGCTTCATTTCTTTGGAACGGAAGTACTCATTTCTTGAGCTTTAAGAATTTGGAAGTGAAGATAGGTTCAACGCCAGAGTTGTAAAATGACCAAGACGAGCAGTGTACACAGAAATGCTACAGGGAGTCTAGTCTGAAAGTAGTCAGCTGCAGTCACCTGTGCTCCTAGTCTTTGCTGAAGTGATCTGTTTTCTACAAATTCTTCAAATAGAATGTTGATACTCCAAGATGCAGAAAGTATTAAACAAACAAACAAAAAAGTAACAATTCATGCCATCATGTGCCATTTCTATGTGCACACTATTAACACATTTGAAAAGGACACATTTCATAATTAACTTGGTATGGGTAGTATACTGTTTACCATCATAATCATTAACAGATGAATATAATACCTTTTGTTTTTGTGTTGTTGTTAAAAGTTGGTCACAGAATATGTTTTATAGAGAGTTTGCTACTGGTCCTCAAGCTGTGCTGTTCTTTCTCCAGAAGGAGATCTGTAGTGATGGGATATTCCCGAGGTGCGAATCTGACAAAGACAAACACATGATTTGAGAGGTAGTACTCTGTTCCGTCAACAGATTACAGGGCACTAATTCACATTTAATCACTGCAAAGTCTTGTGGCTGCAGGTTGAACGTGCTCATTCTGGATCCTAGAAAACTCTGAAGGCAAGGTCTGCAAGTAGATGTAGCGTCAGTTGGGTTACTACGAAACAGGCAGAAAATAAGCAAGCTTTTCAACGTGCATTATTCATATCAGCTTCTCTTTATTAAAGTTTCTGTATTTCTATAGTTAAGCGTAAAGGTTTGTGCATCTAAAACTTCTCTGTTTAATGGTGGCAATATCGTTTCATCAGTTGAGATAAAATCTTGTCATGCTTACAGTGTCCTGCTATGCTTACAACCCTAAGTCATCACAATTACACTATTCCACTAGAAAATAATCCCTGAAATAGAACTACAGTGACAGCTAACTACTATTCTTCGCAGATTTAGTAGAAAACAAAACAAATTGTGTAAAGGCAATTTAGATGCTTGTTTTGCTGTTTTCCCTTTTCTCTAACTGAAGAATTAATTTCTCAAGCTGTCAGTTCTATTTGTTGTCACTGTCTGATATCCAGTGCAATGTTTTCATATGATGATACTGATAGGTACTATAGGTACTATGTCAAACACAATATAAAGCTCCTAGCAGCCCTAGTGAAATAGATTCTATTCATAATCTTCATTTCACATGATAAAATCAAAAGAAAGATACTACATTTACTCATGCCATTCTGTGAAGGAGGTAGAATCAAGAATAAATCTTGGTACTGTTAGCTTTCACAAAAGTTATTTTGTAAGGGAAATGACAGCTTTCATATTTGATCACAATACTATTGGAAATTAGACTTTACAAATTTAAGTTATTGTGATTTTCTTTCTCTGACTACAATGAAAAGGAAAGCAGTTTCTAGAGAAACTGAGACTTGAATTGTAAATGAGGTTGAGGAAATTTTGCTCTTGAGAGTGACTGCAAGTGGAAAATGCAATGATCTTATGTTGGGTTTAATCAAAACATTGTTTCCTTATTAATTATTAAAAAAAAAAAAAAAAGAGAAAAAAAGAAAAGGAGGAGGTAGTTTTCCCATTAGTCTGCAAGGTACCTGTACTTTTCTTCGGTTGGGACGGATTCTGAGCTTGTAAGACGTTCACCCCCCATATGCTTGCTATCTTCTGGTCTGTTGATCAGTATGGAAGACCCTCCAAGTTCTTAGGGAAGAGAGGAGGGACTGTGTCCTTTTGAGTGTCTGCATGCCATAAATCAACAGACAGTGACAGAGAGGACAGCGTGGCACAAGCTAGAAAACTTCTAGAGCATCCAAGAATGTGTCACCATGTCTCATTCAAAGCTTCATATGTTTTAGATTTATACATTCAAGATGTGTATGTTTTTCTATAAGAGACCATACAGATTTTATTTGACCTGTAAGAAATTTATTAACTGTGTTACTTGCAGTTTGTTGTCATTCTGGAAGCAAAGTGACACGCTACTATTTTGTGAGAAAAGTCCTGTGAAAATGGCATAGACAGTCATTTCAGTTAACTTGAGCAAGTGCACAAGGCATTGTAAAAATGGGGAAAGAAAATCCCCACTTATAAATAACAAGCTGTATTTATTTTTTCTTGTTCGGTTTGTAGGGTTTTTTGGGTTTGGGGTTGGGGGGGTTGTTCTTTTTGCTTCTGAAAGGTTAGCTTCTATGCCTTAAAATATTGTCAGTTAAAGATTTACGTGATATTTTCAACAGTTTAAAAAGTGTAGTTCTTTGAATCACTCTAGGTGAAGTAGCATATGTGAGTAGTAACCGTTGGTTTTACCACAAAATAGTTTTGGTCTGTCTGTGCAGGAAAGGTTTAAGATTGGTCTTCAGCAAACCACTAAGAAAAGAAAGATATCAAAGATCTCTGAACTTTTTGTTGTTCTTTAATCCAGCTGCAAAACGGTGTGAATTTTAACTTGATACCTGAGGTTTAAAGGAATACTGCTTCTTTTCTTTTTTAAGGCATTAAAGAGAGAAGTGGTTATTATACATAGAAGTAATTCTAAAGTTTTGTTCTCCTTGTCTGAAACTCTACAAGTCAGCTTTAAAGTACAACAGTTTCATACCTATCTATTTTCCAGAATGGTTGAGCAGTTTTAGTTCTTTTTTCTAAGTTGTGATCATTTCAAAAGATGTATTTTATCCTAAAAATGTGAAACACTTTTGCTAGAGATGGAATTCAAAAAATACAGCAATTTCAAGTTAATGACTTGAAAGTAAACGTAGTCTCTGAGAATAAACTGTTGTCATGTTATTGCACTTCTTGTCCAGTAGATGTTGCTGTACATACATTAAACAGGAGATTTTCTAACTATAAAATTCTATTATCTGCGCTTAACACAGTATTTTAAATAACTTTTTCGGTACAATTTGCTTTGTGTTCTCAGTAGACTCCACAGAAGGTTGGAACTACAAACAGGAAGACTATTAGTCAAACCATGTTTTTCTTCAACTGTAACTGTCTCATGCAAAGCGTACTCACGTTCCTCAGTTCTCAAAAATGTGAACTGTCCATTAAGCTGATGATTATTTTGCAGACTCTCTTTTACAGTTAGTTGAATTATTTCAAGGGCTTTTTCAACAAAATGCTGCTCTTAAAACCACACGCACACAAAATAATATAAAATAATAATAATGATTTAAAAATCCCCTATCCATGTTGTAATTCCAAATTGCACTCATTCCAAAAAGTGTCTGTCACTTCATATTGATGCCTTTCTCTGGACACCTTCCACACTGAGAAAATAGTTTCTTCATACAAACTTGATGCACAATTAGACTATATATGTTTAGCTCTCATTAACATTGTAATGAGAATACGTTGACTTCATGAAGTTGATATTTGAGCTACTCTTACATTTGTCTCCAGCTTTGTCTTAAATACATATTGTTCCTCAGAATAAAACGTTTGCACACTGATCTACTGTAAGTAAAGTTTACTGATATATATAGTCTGCCTATTCAGATGGCATGAGTTAGTTTTTATAATTACATCATAAACTCAGTGTTCGGTTTTCACTTCTTCACTTTGAAACCCCCCTTTTTCAGAATTATTTTAACAGTGGTTATGAGATACTTACACTTTTCAATTTTCTCATTTTCACAAGACTGCTGAAAAATCTGGCCAAATGGAAAGATCGAAGAAAAACGCTAGGCAAAGACAAAATGATTTCAAGGTAAGTTATGGGGAGTAAACGTTGCTTTCTTTCAGTTGCCTTTCATACCAGGATGTTTTAGTATCACCACCTTGAAAATCAGATTTCTTAAATCATCTTTGTGCCCTTATACCTCATCCTTCCATGCTCTCTGTCATGTGGAACCTCCTGTAAATCATATGTTACAAGATATTGTGTCTAGCAAGTATAGCAAATATATAGTTTAACTTCTTAAGCATACTGATAGAGCTCGATTTTTCTTTTCCTTATTCTGATTCAGAAAATGATTCAAGAAGTGATGCACTCTCTGGTGAAACTTATCCGTGGAGCTTTACTTCCATTCAGTCTCAGAGAAGGAGAATCAAGGCAGTATGGTGGCTGGGAGATGAAAACTGAACTTTCTGGCCAGTGGCTAACACATGTTATCCAGACAGTAAGGTAAATGGAGCTGTTGACCTACAATATGATGCTATTCCTGGAATGTGTATGTTCTAACACAAATTGTTTTGTTTGTTTCATTAAATACTCTTGCGTACTGAGAATGTTAATGCTTTCAGAAATACAATCATGAAAAATAGCTTAGGGCAGATTTAGGATTCTGCAAGCAAGTTTAATTTGTGATGTCTCATGATACGTGCTTATTACAAATGATATATTCATTTTTTCCTAGACCACCTTAGGAAAGGGTTGAATAAATGATTTGCATGGCACAGCATAGAAGCTCCATGAATGAAATGGGATTTGATTCTTTAGGGTAAAATTAGGTAGGCAGCTTTGCTATTATTAGCTTTATTTACTACATATCTTCCCATCTCTGCCAAAATAGATAAAAATAACATGCCTCTCAGTATAGTATCATTTTCAAATCACAATTTGCTTTCGCAGTTGTTTTACGAAAGGTGATGCTCCTGCTTATAATGTCATTCTGCTTATAATTATGTTTGTTTATAAACTTAGTGATGTGCATGTCATCAATTACAAAATGTCTCAAAAAATACATGGAATTTCCTTCCATTTGTCCATGGAGGGTATATGCATCATCATTATCATTTGGAAATTCAAGTAATAACGTGGATTTGATAGCATAGTTCTTACTTGCAGGTTTCAAAGTAAATAACAAGCAAAACACAGGTGATGAAGAGAAAGGGTGTAGTTAACTCTTACTCATACGTTAATTCACATGTAGTTAACTCTTACTGCAGATGGAGCTAACAATGATATGCACCTGTTGTTAAGTCTGTTTAACACTTTGCAGAAGTCTGTTGTCAGTTACATTATCTGAATTTCACATGGATTTATTTTTTTTTTTCTGGATGGTTGAAGTTTATTACTCTGGCTGAAGTTTATGGAAAGCTTCCAGTTTAATAAGGAATGGACTTGGCATTGGATGAAAAATACATAAAGGGGTGAGGGAACAGGCTTCAGCATGCGTGTTGCCAATTTATGAAAAGTAATCCAATTACACTCAAATTATAAAAATCTAGTATTTACCACTTGCACTGGCTTGGCAATTTGACCAACAGATTGTCTGAAGGTTGGTTGTGTGTCAGAGTCCTGCCATCTGAGATATGATCCAGTATAAGGTTATAAGATATGTGAAGGCTCTTTTCTAGGTATTCTCATCATTCTTTCTGGCTACTGCCCTGGTAATGAGTACCAGAACTGAAATCTGGGAAACTGTCTCTTCTTCCCATTCTTTTCACCACCTCATGTTGTTAGTGCTCTTAACAGGAGTGAGCTAGGGCTTAATGCAAAGAAAGCAGTCAAAAGTAGAGAAGAGGGGCAATCTGGACAAGAGGGACTGAACATACCACGATATGGTACCAATCAGTGATGACCAAATCTTAAATTTTTGCAAGTACTGCAGGTCTTCGTTTCAAGCTCCGGCGTTCTTTGACAATCTAATTAATTCTTGCGACTCTCACCAGTAAAGAAGTTGGACTGCTCTCACGAATAGTCTACACATTACATATAAACTTTACTTGTCGCAAAGTTATATGATGACTTATGTCTTATTTTTGTAATTCCCAACATCTAGTCATCAAGAAGCACATGATGGGATCAGTCATTTCCCAAATTAGTGCTTGTATCTTAATTTTTCTATTTGTTTATATACATCAGAGAGCTTACAGTGAGGTGGTTACATGCTTTTTTGCCTTGTATCCCACTCTGTCATTGCCTGGTGTAAGCAGTAGGTTCCAAAGGATAAATGAGAGCTCAGCAATAAAGTGAAGCCATCGCCTGCAAGACTTTGGCCTCATTGTAGGGATTAGAAAGGTGTGTATGTTAGGATAAGTTGTGTGAGGTAAAGCTGTGCGCTCTTTTGGGAATGCAGTCGACTCCAAGTACAGGACTTTTATGCAGCCTGAAGTCACTTAAATTTCTCACAGATGGCTGTTTACGTCCTGTGTTTTCTGCATGACTGAGATAATGCAGATTTATGTAATCTATTGATTCAGTCGTTATGCTGAGCTGATAGCAGTCGGGATCTGAATAACATTTTTAGAGTTAAAACTGTGGAGTTGGAATGTAGTTAGCAATTAATGGTGCTGTTTTTATGGATTATGACCAACACCAGGAGTAAAAAACTAGAGTTTGCAGGTGGATGGCTAGAAGTGTTCCACTTATTACTCGAACGTATTTGTTTGTGCCTTCCTACTGCTGTTTTTTGGCAATTTCTGGTACCTGTGCTTTGCTCAGTATTAGCAGTACAGGAAACAGCAATGACTGCATTTGAATTGTCTTTGCTTATGTATTCAAGAGGATGGAAACAAACAATAAACCTCACTTTGTGCCCCTAACTAAAGTCTGACTAACAACAATCTTTTAGTCAAAAGCTGAAATGAAATTCCTTCTAAGCAGCTATTGTGTTGCTTTTTCTAAAGGGGAAAGTAGAAATGAATCTTTCCATCCTCTGCTACAAAACTTGGTGATTGAGCCCAGTCCCGGTTCAGAACAAAACAGTCAACAAATTCATTCATTGTTCAGCAGTAGCTGTATTTTTGGTCCCTTAAACATGTGTACCATTGTGATCTGCCACATGGCCACATAACTTTTTATTGCACCTTGTTGTTTAATACAGGTAGACGATGCCTCATAAACCCAGTTGTAGACCTAGGAGTTGATCTAGACATTCATATAAACACAGCAAAAGAGCTACCTCTGCTCCAGAAGGATTATTTTTAGATTATAAGATAAGATGGATGAAGGAAGGCAGGTAGGAAAGTGCAAGAGGACAGTGGGAAAAGTAGGCATGTTTGTATGATGACATTATTGTAACATTACAGGGGGAAAAAAAAAGTACGTATTTGCATGCTTCTGAATTAAGTAAATAAGTAAACTTTTCTCACCAGGGTAACCAGTTGTCAAAGACTTACTGTGGATGGAGCTACTGTATTCACATATTGAGAAGATTTTACAAAAATTTAATGTAGTTTATCTGCTAAAAAAAACTTACACGGATTTAAAATTCAGTTGTTTATTTTTTTAATTCTTTTCAGGCTTAGTTCTGAGTCTCTTACTGCACTTGAGATACCCAATGATATGCTTCAGATCATCCAGGATCTTATTTTGGATCTTCGTGTACGTTGCATTATAGTGACCTTACAACATACAGCTGAAGGTAAGAAAAGGCTGCAGATCTTTCTGTTTTTGTTTGTTGTTTTGCTTTGTTTTTTCCTTTTTTTTTTTTTTTTCTTTCTCTCATTTCTCTCCTCTTCTCTCCTTTCCTCTCTTTCCTCTCCAACTATGCCAAACCATGTTCTGGATGATAATGATGTTTAAGATATTGAAGGGGCAGTAGGACTCCTCTGAGTTCTGTAGTATATCTCCCAAGAATTACTGAAACATTTAATGGTTCAGAGAACATTCTGTATTCTGAATCTTTTCTTCCCTTAATCGTAACTGTTACAGCAGTTTAGATCCATCTTCTCTTGGTTGAAACAGTGATTTATCTCATCATGTAGCTTTTCTTTTTTGAGTTCTTCTGTGAAGTGACGAATTAAATCGGCAATACCCCTCACACCAAAATCCCCAACACTTCACACCACCTCCCCAGAAACGCCAACAACCCTTTATGGAATATTTTAGTTGTGTGTTTTGTTTTATTTTGTTTTTCCAAGGCCTTTTGCTAACACTGTTATCCTTGTGCCTCCTTCTGTGTACATAGCTTTTCCCAAAAATGTCTGGATTGTAAAGGCCAATAGCACGTTCTCTAAACCTAACGTGATTCTATGTGCATCAGAGGCCATTCATCTTACCATATCCTGAAACTTGAATTTGAATGAAGTAAATCTTCCAGAAATAATTCTCCCTCTTAAAAGTCAGGGAAGTTCAATAGTTCTTTTTTTCCCCAAAAAGACTAATTGGTCTCAATATAAATAAAAAAAAAAAAGTGACTCTTTCAGTTTAATCATTTTTTAATCTTTGATATGATTCATCATTATTTTGTGGGCTGACATGAAGCTAAGTATTTTACTCAAGCCTTAAGTGTGTTAAATGTAGGTGGCTACATTAATTATGTTTTTAAACTTTCATTGACAACAAATGACAAAGTCTCTGTTGTTTATTTGATATAATGTCGATATGAATCCTATTCTTGTCTATTAATTCTTTGATTAAATCCCATTTCAGCATTAACATTAGTTTTCCTGCATTAATACCAAGCTTGTTGTCCATACAAGTGCAGAGATTGTCTTGTCTCTTTAAAACTCTGTACGAAAAGGATTTACCACAGCTTTTGCTTGATATATGAAGAAATCAGTTCTCTATAGTCTCTATTCACCTAGTTTCCCCAGTGTGGTACAGAGAACTCAGATATGTGATTAATCATGTAGCACTACGTCAAAAAGCCTGTTATCTTACTAGTTTTGCCTACTTATTGCATCATCAGAGTAGCCCAGTCCTTTGTTCAGATACAGTATTTCTGTTTATGTCCTGATTGCTGGCCACTTAACTTCAGTGGAGGAAAAATTCTAGCAGTAGTCTCTAACTTAGATTTTTGATAAGGTAGATTCACCAGTCTGTGTAGGAATGATTCTCTGTTTGGTCTAAACATCTTTATTCATCTTTCCGTGTCTTGAATTAAAAGAGATCAGATCCCTTAACATTTGGTATTTTATATTGGCTGGCTAATGCATCTTTTTTTTTTTATCTAGCCAATTATAACTGCCTTTCTTGATTGCTTCTTATATTCCCTGTTAGTGAAACAGTCCTATGCATTTGCCAGAGCATCAACCAGAGAAAGAGTGAAGATACATGCCTCTATTACAACTCTCATTTCATTTTGTTGCACTGGGTGACTTATCTACGGGTGCCTTCTTTTGTTCTTTACCAGTCTAGGCAAAATTGCTTATGTTAAGTGTGTTTAGATCATTTTTCTGGACAGGACTGGATTAATTGGGCCCTTGAAGAAACTGTTGTCTTTAGGGAACCAGCAAAAGAACAATTAATGGATATTTTCATGGAGCTATGTAAATGGATGTCAGATATATTTATATCTGTATTATATTAGTGAAAGAGGTTCTCACTGGACTTGAATCCCCCTCTATAATCTCTCTGAAATGTGAGCTCCGTAGACTGGCAATGTAAAGCTCAGTCTCATCTCTTACTACACGTTGTAAGTTGGTAGAGGCATTCAGATCAGTAAAAATTTTTAATAGAGCACACTACCATTAGCTATTTAAATAGGACAAATCTGCCCACACACAGGTTTTTCTTGTTGTCTTCGGATAAATGCAGTGTACTCATGCTGGCCCTGAGAAAGACCTCTGTTCTTTCCGTCTTACTGCGTGATCACTGGTCATAAAGGTCATGAGAGCCAGAATACATGCATGTGACTGCCAGACCAGACAGGGGGTTTACATCAATGTATTTGACTGGAATTTGATGGAGGGTTTCAGTGAAATTAGTTTTTTGGGTTTTATTTATTTTGTTTTTTGGTTTGGTTTGTTTTTGGTTTTGTATTTGTGCTAGCTCAGAACAGGTTGCAAAAATGAACGGCCACAAAAGCATGCGGAGGCTGACCAGCACAATCTAAAGGCCTGCAAGAATATCAGTTCAATAAGAGATTTACTAAATAGGGAAATGAACAGAGTATTTATTCTGTGCAGTCCCCTAATACCTTTTTTCATCAATAAGACTGTTTCCATGAGATGTAGTATTGCAGGGTATAACACCGTGCTCAAGCTTCTTCATCTAGCTAATTAGAGCACCAAGAGTAATGTAGATACATTCAGCATGCGTTAGTTACCCTCTTTTCTTGGGCTCAAAGGAGAAATTCACCAAAATCATTTCCCATTTAAAAGGGAGTTTCATGATATACAGACAGTTCTGAAGAGCAATTTATGTGAGAGAATGTATGCCAAAGCCCCCATGAAGTGCGCACAGTTTATCTCATTCATGTTTGTCAATTAAGAAAAAAAGAAAAAAAGAAAAAGAAAAAAAAAAGTGTTGCTGAATAAGTGCATCCACAGAGGACTTTTGTTCACAGAACAACAGGTTTGGATTCACATCCTGTCTTGGCTCCTTCTTAGCTTCAGTAAACCTGTAGAAATTGAAACCTTTTGGGTAGTAGAAGATAGTTTTTTGCATATGCTTTCAAGCATTTTCATGAATGGTCCAGCACCATGGACTCTTAACACTAAGTGGTGTCTCTAAGCCTTCTTTATAGTTATTAATTATGAATTATATGCTGTCCTTTTTATCTTTTCTAAAATACTAAGCAGTTGGTCTTTCATTTTTAATTAAGAGCTGGAGTATAATAGATCAGTGACTTCAGTTCTTAAATGAATTATTTTATATTCTGATTAAGAACTTAGAAAATAAAAACAAACCCAGAGCCTTGACAATATTCCTTTAATATTAAGCTTTCCAGTAAAAGGTGGGCTTCATGCAACTCTTGCCATGTATCACAGATATGCTTCTCAGTGTGGTGTCACCAGCATACCATGTACGTGTTCCGTTCTTAGTCATTTGAGAAGGCTGAAAGCTTTGAAGCTTTTAGTGCTATTTGCTTGTATGTCTAGTCATTGCAGTCCCAATGTCTGTGGTTTATCTTTTCAAGTTCAAGGAGTTTTTAATAATGAACATGAATACCTCTTTTTTTTTTTTCTTTCTCTGTCTTACAGATATAAAGAGGCTAGCTGAAAAGGAAGACTGGGTTGTTGACAATGAAGGTTTGACATCGCTGGTGGGTATACTTGTGTGTTACAGGCAGTGTCTTTGGATTTATTTATTTTTTAAGAAGTGCAAATAAACTGGTTTGCATGTTCTCCAGAGAAATTGAATTAGTTTGGACTTTGTCTGTGCGTGTGCATACTGGTGTCTACAGTTTTATTAAAATATTAAAATACAGGAAGATTAAAAATCCAAAAAGTTTTATTGGTATAGTTACTTAGGGCTTTCTTAACAGATCCCATCACAAAACACAACATTATTTTTGTGTCTTTACCAAGACATTTATTTGTTCTTCTTAAATTGTTCTGTTTGAAGTAATTTTAACATTAAGTGATAATTGTACTACTAGGTAACAGTATTTTCTGAAGTGCAAAAGAAATTGTGAACTTAGTAGTAAGATAAAGTAGCTTCTTAACTGTGCTAGGATTATCACAAAGGAAGTTAGTTTGAGATAAATGTTCAATATTGACATGTGACCAACAAAATGAAAGCTGCATTTTCATATCCTAGTACCTCATTTCTTCCACAGGTGGCATGAATAGGGAACACAGCTTGGTCTTAAGTCTGTGAGATGGATAAGTTTCTTGTCTTTCTAAACCAGCCCTTTCTCACGTGGGAGTAGTTCTAACATAAAAAGAATGCTTTCTAACATTCCTTATTACGACAAATGTTTTCAGAGGTGGAGGTATGACTTAAGTTCTTTGATGCCTATAATCTAAGCAGTTAACATGGAGATTCTGCCACTTCACCTATTGAACAGTATCAATATTTCTTCTCAGACTGATGGTACCTAACTTTGTGCATGCAAGGTTCATATTGACAAACTCCTTGAGTGACCCCCATTTTCTGTGAGTGAAACTTAGGATCAAAATGGATAAAACTTTGCAGCTCTAGGGTGAGCTGTCCAATGAAACTGCTTATTTCTGAAACTGCCCATAACCAAATACCCACCACTAATGGGATAAAATGGTTCTTTCAGAAATTGCTTTCTACATAAGTACAGTTTATTTTCATTTCTGTGTATTTTATACATGTTAAAGAAGCAAACAAACAAACAAAAAAAACATACTTAGTAACTCTTACTTTATGAAATCTTGCATTTTAATATTTTTAAGGAAATAACTAGTATTTTCTTTCTGAGGATTTTTAAGTAGGCTTCCAGAACGAGTTCTCTATTTATAATATTTTTTTTAAAAAATCAATGCAGTATATTCCAGTTAACGATGAATTAAAATATATGCTCTAAAATATATTATAGTAAACATAGATATAGGACTTTTTTTTTTTCCCTATCCAGCCTCTTTTGTTCATTGACTTATGGGGGGAATACTAATTTTTTAAAAAGTATAAATAAAAGGTTTGTAAATTTGTGCCATGTATCGAGAGACAAGAATTGGGAATAAAGATCTGTAGCATGACTTTTTTTTTAAGTAGGGTTATTCAAATGTGTCAGAATAATTAGTGCTGACCTTTAGTATGATTTTTGCTGAAATAAACAATAATAGCTTTAATTGTTAAGCAACTTATTTTAGGAATAGTTTACCGAAGTAAAGAATTTTTTTTTGAGGTCACAAGTTCAGTTCACATCAAAATGCTTCATAACTTAGTAGGCATACTACCATGGAATTGGTCTGTAGCTGAATAAATAGGTCACTTATCTGTTATAACGAGAAATTGAACTGAAAAGCAACTAATTTAGGAGATTGCCTACACACAAACAACAAATGGCTTGAAACCAAATTCGGATAAACTAGTGAGATGCTTTCTGGAAATAAACAGTAGTGAGTAATGGCTAAAACACAGCAAGCACGTTGTAGGTGTGACTTAAAAACAATCTGCGAAAGCAGAAAGGGCCTGTGGGAGGGAGAATTGCTTTGTATATATTAGCTAAGGGAATGCTCCACCGCCTTTTTTAGTTTTTCTTATTTGCTTCTATAAATACGTTTGAAGTTGAGTAGGAGGGCATGAAGCAGTCACAACATACATACTGTAGGAAGGAGTGTTGTTGGGCAATTCGGGTATTATAACCAGATTTATAGCTTCTGGTCTTGGTTTCAGTTGCCATTGACTTGGGCAAGTCCCTTAACATTTCTGTTTTTCACTTTATTCATCTGCAAAATGGAGGGGGGAGAAAAGACCTACTGCAACAGCTTCTGTTACTTTATGCTTTGGCTGTATCCTTACAGCATCTTTGTTAATAAATGCTTAACAACCTTTTGTGTATTTAGAAGTCACCCATAAATTCCTTGTGTACGATGTTTTCCTAGATTCCCCCTTTTGAGGCAGTGGTTGAGCCATGCCAGATCTTATTGGTGGCAGTTGATTATGTTTTGTCATAATGAGATTAGCTGCCTACTGAAGTAGAGTTCATTGTGGTAATATTGTAATAAAAAAATAATGAGCATAAACAAGTGCCACGCAGTGTCTTTGGAGACACCTTTGGCTTAATACAGAAACTGTATTTTAAGTAGGTAGGAAATACTGGTTAATAACAACCCCTTTAGCATTCATATTCCAGGTAAGAGATACACTAAGACAGAAAACCAGCTTTCCTCAGTTTCATGATATGCAAAGGATAATGTATCTGAATGGCTTTCTTCTCCTGCGGTGTGGTGTTTTATGATACAAAAATGAAATATAACAGCAGCACTTTACTGTTGTTGTTTTTCTGAGTCAATCCAAAAATAATAGAGTCTGAGTGGCCCTTCCTTCATGCTTTTCAGGTTGCCGTGCAGGCGTCACGTGTATTCCACATCCACCCTAGCATTTACAGAAATACAGATTACTCCTAAGCATTAAGTGGGTGGCATGTCATAAACTATTTACTGGTTTAAAAAACAGAAAAACACAAATTTACATGGCTTAGCTTTTTCATCCGTGTCTCTGACCTGTATCCAAATGAATGATGTCCCTCTTTCATAGAACAGTGACACCTCTCTGCAGCTTCCTGCCTCATAGCAAGCCAGCAGTCTCAGAGAAAAAAAGTGACTTTAACAGGGAAGAGAGAAAGATGAGGAAAAACTGACTAATGACTGTGATGCGGTGAACTCATTTGCACTTTCATAGTGAAATTGGTACATACATCAAGGCATTCGTGCTTCAGATTTGGAAACCCTGGAGGTTTAAAAAAAATAGTCCCCCAAACCAATCTTTATTTTTCTTCTATGTGAAAGCAATTTCAGTCCACTTTTCTTAGAAATATTTTGCTGAAATTAAATGCAGAAATAACAGATATCCAAGGTGAAATTATGTCCCAACTTAGATCAAGGGGATGTGTCATAGGCCTCTATAATGTAATGTATGTGCTACCACAAAAAAAGCCATAAACTTCTTTTATGACCCTTCTAGAGGGGGCTATTCAGTGGATAAGTCTCTCAGAGAAAAATGCTCGTTATCTGTTGTAATAGTTTTGTAGATAATCACATCATTTCAAAAGTATCTTCTAGTAATATATGAATTGTGATTTTTCTCCTTATCCCGAATAAAGAGTTTGCCATATGGAATGGAATTTTTATGCATTTGCTTGTGTAGCATTTATTTTACATGGAATGCTTATCTAGAATCTAAAGAGTCATTTGTCTTTCAGCCATCCCAGTTTGAACAGTGCATTGTCCATTCCTTGCAATCTCTAAAAATTGTGCTGGACTGCAAACCTGGAGAGGCCAGTGTAAGTTTTGATTTATGTTTCTAATTTCCTTCTTTTTATGTAAATCACTATTACATTTCAGAACAAGAACTTTCAAAGAATGATACAGGATTCTAACTTTTCCTTTTTTTTTTTTTTTCTTTTTAACTTGCACCCTTTTCACTGCTGCTAGCTTTTTATTATTATCATTTATATTTCATTTATTTCCTTCGGTTAAGATTAATTGTATGTATATGGGGCGGATGGACCTATATTTAAATTTTTGAAGCTCCTCTTTTAGAAGAATGCTACTAATGTACTTTTCAGGTTACCATAGATGTGACATATATATATATATATATATATACACATGTGTATATGTATACGTATATATCTATTCCCAGGAGTTACACTTAACTCAGTGCTGCATCTGAACTACTAGCAGAACATTAATTCAGCTTTTTACTTCTGCAAACTTCTAAACCAGGAGTCGTGCCTATCCACATCCACTTAGTTTATTGAGGCCATGATTGAACGTCATACCGATATCTTCTTTCAGGTTTCCTCAGTGATGTGAGGAAGTTTAATACTTTTCCAAAGCCCCTTGCAACCTTCTGTATGAGTATGGTTTCTATCTCCTTCCTTATTTCATTGTTTATGACTAGCTTGTCCAGTTTTCTTATTTATAAGAATATGCCGTGCATGGTGAATCCTTCTTGTTAGGGTGCAGAGATCTTTGAATATCCTAGATTTAGCTGCAATTCTATTCTCCGACAGCAATACGTATCATGTGTACTAGTTACTAGGACTTCTTTACCTTTAGTGTTTTAACACCTCGTGCTTGTCAAGCTGCTTATTTGGTCTTATATACTTTTTCCCCATTTTTAGAGTGGGGAAAAACTGAAGTTGATCTGTATGAGAGCATTGTGTCCAAGCAGTCATTCACATAATTGTGTTGTCTCTGGAGGGACACATCACTCAGGCCTTCTTTGAGAATAAAGCTTTGTGAAGCTGCTCCATTGAAATAATGTGCTTGCATCTTCAGGTGTTCCAGCAACAGAAAACGCAGGAGGATGTGTGCCAGCTAAGCATTGGGATCATGCAGGTAACTCAAATGTTTTGAGGTATGAAATTGTGAATGTAAGTGACCAACAAAAAGATGTGCTTTGCATACTTCCCAACTTCCAAAGGGTAGCTTAAGTTGATGACAGTATGTTGTTCCTCTAATACACTCTGCGATCGTGCCAAATGTTTGACTTGAGAAGTATGTAGATGTTCCTAGCTGAACCTGATGATATCAAATCCCGAGTGTGTGGGCTGTTGACGTGTTCTAATATTTTACTGAACCACCATCATTGTGATCGAGATACTTGCTAAGCTGATGTCAACTAGCATTGATACACTACCATAAAAGGAGCAATGCTGATTTTCATCAGCTGAGGATCTAGATTCTTTTTATTTGTTGTTGTTGGAAACCAATATTCTTCATAGTAAAATTTGGTATTTTAAAACCATATATATTTGAAATCGGGTAATAGCATGCTTTAGGCTTCCAAAACATTTTTATAGTATTTTCAGACAAGAAATCTTGAATAAAAGCAAAAAATGGATTTTAGTGATGCTTCTGTGATGTTTACTTAAATACAACTCTTCAGATTGAACACGAAAATTATTAGCAATGCCTTCTTTGCAAATCATAGATTTTTATCATCATAGAATTTTAGCCATACTTGATGTAAATCACTTAGCAGGACGAAAACCACCTATTTTTTTGCCACAAGTAAAGAGTATGATCCATATAAAATGTTTAACTACTCTACTAATGTCAGTGAAAGTTATTGATGATTGTTCTGCTTCTATTGACTGTACTAAAAGTGAATTTGAGATTATTTTTCAGTTCTGACAGAAAATATGGATGTTACTTTGTTTCCTAGGTTTTCATAGACTGTTTGGAACTATTGAGTACCAAACCTGATGGTGACATAGATACAGCACAGTAAGTAAAATAAACATGACCCAACTGTAGTATTCTGAAATTGTGGGTACAGGTCTCACATTTTGGTGGTGGTGGTGACTTTATCCCTCTGGTGTTACATATTTCATATTAATACTTTTGCCTCTGGCTAGTGTTGCTTTGAAATACAATTAGATACTTTTTATGCTAAAAATTGAGTGATATAAAGTAATAAATATTGTACAAGATAATTAATATGGTATTTGTTATAACATTTTCTTCAGTGACAGGCTTTGTAGTATGCTGTAGAAGCAAGTATGTTGTTTTTTACATGACCTGACGTGGAATGGATTATCCTTGTCACTAAGTAATATCTACTCATGGAGATGTAGCCACTGCCTTTTTTTTCTTCCCTTCTATTTCAACTAGATATTAGTATTTCTGCTAAATTCTTGAAAGGTTGTTCCATAATTGCTCATCAGCCAGTTATTTTGGAGACCAAAGCAGTCAGAATAGCCTGGGTTTTCAGAGCACAAAAAATTTTTGTGAAATGTTGGAGAGCTGGCAAATACTACTACCCACAATATGCATTAGAATGAGGCCAATTAACTGTGTTCCCAATACTATTTTTATTTGCTATTTGGATGACTCTGATGACTAGATAGGTGTAAACATAGAGCAGAATCTGCAGCGAACCAGAGAACTTGAAGACATTGAAAATGCTTTAAAGAAAGGTCTGCAGTACTGTCTGTCCACAAAGCTCTTGCAGGCTTTCTGGACATCTTAATGTGGGCTACTTTGTTATCTTGTGTGAGGCAGGGGGTGATGCTGGGGTGTTGACACAAAATTCTAGTCTTTTGTTCCAACTGTTTATTTGAACTCATTATTCATGTATCAAATAGCTAAAATCACTGCGCTACTCACAATTTAAACAATATTCCCAGTCTTTCAGTTGATGTTTCATCTCCAGATTTGTTTGGAAGCATTCATGAGGACTCAAGTCTTTCTTCAGTAAGTTTGATTTCTGTTTTTAAAAGCTGATGTGAAACTTAATAATTCTCAAAGTTCCAGGAAGGTGGTGTTTTTATTCTTTTTTTTTTTTAATTAATTGTTTCAAATTTTTGGGGTTTCTTTTTTAGAGAGCAAGTCTGTATTATAGAGGCATTTTCTAACATATACATTAAGAAATATATTTACAAGAATGTAAGATTAGAAGGCTTGAGCATAAGGGTATTTTTAAAAGCACCATGTATGATATCTTAGTATACTATCTTAAAGTAAGTAATGAAGACAATTTTTGAAACCAGGCCCTCCTCAGAAATGGCATCATTAAAATCCGTGAAAATAGCACTAGCATTAAAACATCTGATGCTTTAACTTTTGACTTATTACCATGTTTTAAATGCTAAGAACTGGTCTGGTTATTAGTTACTTTTAAAATACATAGAGATACAGATAGTCAGTAATGTAGTTTTTCCCAAAAAACTAACATTGCTGAGTGTAAGTGTTGATTATTTCTGTAACTTGTTTGTTTGTTGTTGCAGTTTTAATAAATTGAAAAATTGTACTTTCACTTTGCTTAATATAATTTTTTCTAGAGGGGATGATGACATTTTTTTCTGATAGAAAAAAAATGTCCTTGTTACCTGAAAGAAACCTAGTGAGAAGCTCTTTTGAGGTTAATGCTACTTGGTGCAGGTTTAAATGTCAGAATCCTGGCGTTCCCTCATTTACAAGAGCGGAGCAATGATTGTTCCCACTACAATAAACAATCACAGGTTGCAAAATCCAGTATCTGAATTGCAGACTGTACTGATTTATAGTCTCTATCTTTCATTCTTACAACACATGGATTTTGATATTGACTGTTGACAAAATAATTTCTTGTGGTTGTTACGGCCTTCCTGCCACATGTCATGGGTATGACCATTTCACATTTAAAAATAAATAAATAAATATTTTAGACAATATTTGATTTCCATGGTATCATATTTATTTTCTTCTGTAAATCACAGAACACTGTCATTTCTGTTATGATTAACAAGAACAGAAAAATTGAGTGACCATTCTAAGATTTGTCACTATTTGTAAAATGCTTATTTGTCAATATTATATATACCAACACATGAGCGTTTAACGTAGTAGGCAACTGCACATCTCAGTACTAATCATCATATTGCTAGAAGACAAAACAGTCCGGAATTTTTCTGAGTCTGAAAGTCAACATCATTTTTAATCAGATCTCAACTATGATTATGCTGATTTCATTGCCAAATAATTCTGTTTGCAAAATATTTGTCATTGTTGATTCTGAACCCCCATCTGAGGTTGAAAATATTTTTCCATTAGTGGAAAGAAAAGGGAAGAGGGAAAAACAAATCTATTAAAGTAGTTCTATCTCTTTAGTTGTCTCCTCTTTGGAAACTATACCGTGTTGCACCAAGGTCAGGGAAAAGCAATTCTGATATCTCAACGCCAGAGCATATTTAATCTTCTTGTAAAAAAAAAAAAAAGAAAAAGTCATAGAAGAACAGAGATAAGTTGTAACCATCTAGAATTTTTCAAATTTCATTGGGTACTTCAGAACTTTCCGGTAGTGTAGAATGGGTGGGTATATCTGTGCCGTACCTGTTTTATTTCTCTTGTTTTAGCCAGCTTCGTGTAAAGGTGAAGATGATCTTCAATTACATTTTATGATGGTCATAATTTTTAGCGTATTTCTTGAAACAAAGTAAAAGCTAGAAACAGCTTCCTGGAAAATTGTCCAAACCTAATTTTTGTACAGAAATCTTAACCACAGTTCTGTATTAGTCACAGTTATTCCAGTGAATGCTCCGGATCCTATAAGAAAAAGCATAGATGTTCAGTCATCATGCCTTATATTTACTCACTTTTATTCACAAAAATATTACTAAACTCTGCTTTATTTATCAGCATGTCTATCACACACAGAGTCAATAAGATACTACACATTTAGTCGTGCTAAAATTTTGGTCATGCTGATACTTCTGGTTTTTGTTTGTTTGTTTGCTTGTTTTTGTTTTTCTTTTCTAATTGTTATACTCTTTCTCTTTTAAAACAAATTTTTAGGAACAAAGAGTTTTAATTGCACTCAGTAACTGCCGCTATCTGGAACGTCATACCTTCCTAAATATAGCTGAACATTTTGAGAAACATGGCTTTCAAGGTGTTGAAAAAATAACTCAAGTAAGTGAGAACACTGGAATGAAGTGTCACTGCTTGAAGGAAAAGTTTGCACTTGTTTTATTTTCTGTGGGAATTAACTGCAAGTGTTCCAATTTCTCTTGAGTGAGCCTTCTCCATATGAGTGGGACTCCAAACATCAGTTAGTTCATGGACACAACAATAATGATCATATGGTTGTATGCATTCTTATGAGGCTTAGGTAGCTAGTGTAGAAAATATGACTTCTTATTCAAGATTTGTATGTTCACGGGCAAAGCTTATCAGATTTCTCAGTAAAGCTGTTTAATGTCACAGTGTTTTCTTAATGCAGAGGATAAAAGATCATTATCACAGAAATACACTTGATAGATTATTTCATCTGGCAATCTACATTACTGATAGCTGTTGTTCATAAACTAGTTCAGGTTTTTTGTTGTGTGTTTTTTTTTGTGTGTGTGTTTTTTTCTTTTTCAAAGAACGAAAATGTCAAAGTGGGCGGCAGTAGCTGTCTCATTTTCCTGCCTTTTTGTAAAGATTAATCATTTTTTATGAGAAATGTTGTGACTTAATCCTTAGGACCATAAAGTTGGTGTATTTCCAGAAACATTTGTTGATTGGAAGTAAAATGTTATCTCTTCCAGTATAGAGTAAAATATTTCACTCGAACTGATGCTTCTACTACATAGTACATCCCTAGTCCTCTTCTGTCTGAATGTTTGATTTTTTGTGGCTGAAGTTATTTTGAATAACATTTAAGCGTGGCTGATATGATTTGTATTGATAATGCAGTATATGAAATTACTCTGGATATCATCACTCTTTGATGCTGAGGCAATCAAGAGTTGAGCTACAAACAGTGTTGACAACATAGGCAAATGAGACGTGCTATATATTCAATACTCTGTCTTGTACAGCCACATCACAGTATTGCCTTTAAATATCTGGTAGGTTTCCAAATAACAAAATTCAAATGTTGAAGTCACAGATTAATTTCAAATTTATTTTAACCCTTGGAAAACATGGACTGATGCAGTCCTGAATATCTGGTACAAATCAGCCGATAATGCTATCTTGCAGGGTTTGGATAATCAAATAGTATCATCTTACGATGGCAATTGTTGAAACCTTCATTAATTTTAAGAGAGGTTATAAGTTCACAGAGGTTTAGGAGGATTGGATGCTTGTTTCAGTTTTTTTGTTATGCCACTTAGCTTTCTCTGTCTCTTAGTTTATTTAATTATTTATTAGGTTAAAAAAATAAAGCAAGGAATTGGAATTTTCTTGAAAGATAGGATTTGCTCTTTTCTGAGGAGTCTTGAAACAAAACTATATATTTCACTTGTTAGCTTTGTAAATTGAAATTTTTAAATTTTGTAAATTAAATTGAACATTGTATTTTATGTTGGAAAAAACTATTTGTTAGGTTGAGGGTTTTTTCCAATTAGAAGGGAAATCATTATTATCCCATATTTTGAAGAAAAAAAAAAAAAAAAGTAAAGTGATAACCAAGGACGTTTTCTTACATTCTGCGTATTTATATCTTTTTTTTTTTCCACAGGTGCAAATAGCTAAGTTATATAAGAATGGCCAAATGGCCCTTTGTTTTAATGCATGCCATCTTTGCACATACTTAGAACATTCACCAGTAATTTTATTTAATTTCTACATAGCTATTTTACAATTGCTCTTCCGTGGTGATTTTCTCATCAGTTTATTCAGTTAGCAACTGGAATAAAATGTGTGCATCCCAAGATAGTTATCACAGCTTCTTGATTAAGCTTCTGAATATAATTGTCTCCAAAGTTCTGGTGTTCAGATTGTGTAGAGTAGTTACTAAGATAAAGGCTCAAAATGGCTTTAATACAAAAATTGAAATAGACGTTCACAGCAGAAATAAATCAATAAGAGAATTGTACATTTTTATAAAAATATATTTTATATTTTACTCCCCCTACTTGGGAGTCAGGGAAATGAGTATACACAATGGATGTTGTTGAGGACATCTCCTCCCCTTCACACTCCATCCAGGGCGCAAAATAACATTCAGATGAGTTGTTCTATCTTGTAACCTTTCCAGCAGCTGAAAAACAAGGTTAGCCTCCATTATCTTGATTGTGCACTGAATCTGAAACAGGTTGAAGTGAACTAATGAGGAGAGGAGAGGGGAGGGGAGGGGAGGGGAAAAAAGAAAGAAAAAAGAAAGAAAAAAGAAAAAAGAACCTGTAGCGTACATACGTATGCTCTTTTTATTGAGTGACTGCAGAAGTAGAAAGTGGCATCCTTTAATTCTAGAACACTTTGTTAAGGACAATCAAAGCAGTTCCACAGGTCCTTTGAATGGTGAATGTTGATGGGAACTTCCCACTGGAAGTTGTATCCTTCCACCCTTGACTCGTACCTAAGCTGAAATAGTCTACGGATTCGTACTCTCCTTAATCATAAGAAATTGGAGTGAAATATCTTTTGAAACTCGTTCCAGGTTTACATTTCTGCAGTTTTGTGTAAGGGGAAAAATAGGGTTTAGTGAGATTGCAGTGCATTTTTGAATGTTTTCTTTTTCAAGTCTTAAGTGTCAACAGGCTGTGAGGTAGAAAAGGAAGTAGGAGAAGGTAGTCTTGATTCCTTGCTTGGGGCCAGATTCTCAGTGCTTTATGAAAATCCTGTGCTCAGGATATATAGATCTTCTTGTGACATATTAGAGGAGGTTCATCAGATAGAAAACCAGGAAAGTGGTGATCTCTGTTACTTCTGATCACTAACTTCTTCACCCCAACTTTGCTGAACCCAGCAGATTCTTTGATCTCATTAATACCTCTACTTTCCCATGCACTCATGATCTCATTCCTGAAGGCTTATCTGTCTGTCTATTCCTGACTCAGAAATTGCAGGTTACTTTTCTCCTCATTTGGCAATATGCAGGTGTGCCAAAGGAGAGCACAGTTTAGAAACATCCATGCAATGAAGAAGCTTTATCCTTAATTCTGCAGCTTGTAGCATTAAATCTTTTGTCTGTTCTTCACAGAGAAAAGAATGATAAGAAGTTGTTGTTTTTTCTTTCTTCTTCTGAATTCCCACTTTTGTCTAGAGCCCTGCTCTGCGTCCTCATATTTACAACCCTGTTGTTTCTGCAAATTATCCTATTATATAAATCTGCCTTTTTCCATACGGGTTGAGGAAAATGAGCAGTAGTTTAAAGCTTTGCTTTTCTATTTCTTAAGCTCTTACACATAAACGTAAATACATTTAACCAGAACTCACATGATATTTTCAGTGTATTGTGTTTGCATTTAGCATACATTGCCATACTAAGATACTGACTTTCTACTGTAACATTTTATGATATGGGTTGTGTTCCAGAATTGCTTTAGAAGCTGTAGCTATAGAAGGATAACTATGTTTAATAAAATAGCACTGTATTTTGGTCTGTTCTCTCAAGTGCCTGGTGACAGGACGAGGGGGAATAGGCTTAAGTTGCGCCAGGGGAGTTTTAGGTTGGATCTTAGGAAGAACTTCTTTACCGAAAGGGTTGTTAGACATTGGAACAGGCTGCCCAGGGAAGTGGTGGAGTCACCATCCCTGGAAGTCTTTAAAAGACGTTTAGATGTGGAGCTTAGGGATATGGTTTAGTGGGGACTGTTAGCGTTAGGTCAGAGGTTGGACTCGATGATCTTGAGGTCTCTTCCAACCTAGAAATTCTGTGATTCTGTGATTCTGTATAAAATCTAAAGCTGTTCATGTACAATGAACAAATTGTACATATCCCTTTAGCTTTCAGTGTGGCTAAGTGTTGTGAAGTACTAAAAAATGCATTGAGAGCTGTTAAATAGAATTCTGCAGGTGTTCGTGAGCTGCAGCTTATGCATCTGTTGTATGGAGATGCCTTGGAGTCAGGAAGTTCACGTGCATGGTTTCAGAAGTCAGAAGCTCCTTTATGCATTTTCAAGTACACAGCTGATAATGAGAAATTGTAACACTACAGTTGGTAGATTTTAAGTATCCTAAGAAAATCTTCATGTTTTATGAAAATAATTATTATCGACATATTTTAAAACATTGGCAAAATTCAGTTGTTTACTTGGTGGAAGATCAAGACCTCTGGACAGGCAGAAGAAAATCGTGCCAGCAGACAGTTATAGAATGATCTGCCTGCTTTGATATTTCTTGGACCTTTCCCAAAAAAAACTTGTTGCTGAGCACCATCAGGAAAGATTTTATAGTGGCTAGGATGGACAGAGGATATGGAATTTCCTATTTTTTTTTTTAATAGGTATTTATGAACTGAAAAGTGTAAGTAATTGCTACTCTCTACTGAAAATTAAAGATGATGTTCTAATGTTTTTGCGTATGTAATTTAATTCATATAGTTAATGACTATATATGTTTTGATTGTTTGTTTTTAGGTTAGTATGGAATCCTTGAAAGAGCTGGATCAGAGACTGTTTGAAATGTACATTGAATCCAAGGCAGATCCTATAGTTGGGTCATTAGAACCTGGCATTTACGCAGGATATTTTGACTGGAAAGATTGTCTTGTTCCAGCAGGTAAATATCTGCTTATTAAACTGAAATTATTTTAACAGTGATTGATAGGAATTAAAATATACTGTACAATTAAAAACTTTTCTCTAGTCTGTTTTTAACTTTTGACAAGTTCTTATTATAAGTTTTTCTCACAGATTTTACTTAGTTCCTAAATAATTTTTGAAATACCCCTGAATGATTAAAGCAGCTTTTATCATTGATAATCTCTTTAATGGTTGTTTTTTGTGATTATTTTGCTTCATTGCTTATATATAATAGAAATTATTATAAGAGACATCTTTGCTATTTTCTTATGAAATTCATTGAGATTGTTTGGAATTTTTTTCCAAAGAATCTGGCCACTTTGGTAATAGACATAATTACAGTTCTGAAAAGGTAAAATTATGAGCAAATGCATACTATAAAAGTAGTTCAGCAACAATTGTTAAACCATTGAAGAAGGGCAGGAATATGGTATTTAGAATGACTGAGATGTTAGTCATTTATTTAGGTGCTTTAAGAACCTCCATTTTAAGGAAGAATCTGATTTTTTTCAGCAGTGAATACTGTGCATGTTAACATTTAGGTCCTTTAAACATCATATTTGTCATTTCTAAAACTAATCCATCTAAATCACCATATGAATGTCTAGCTAATACGAAGTTGAAATTAGTTTTAGTAACAGTACTTGGAAGTTTGGAGGTGATCTACTATTAATTTTCAATAAATCAATGATTGACGTGACAATTTGTACTTTCTTGGTTTGATTGTTTCTCAGAGTTGCATATAGCAAGCTTAGTAGAAATTCTGTGGTACTTTGATAAGGGAGGTAATTACAAGAAGCACACTTGTAATCTGTGAATCAAGAGCTGCAGTGCTTGTTCACTGGGCTGTAAATACGCAAAAAACGTAGGGTTTGTTACTTTTGAGAAAAATATCTCTTTGATCTTTCTCTATTACTTTTGTGCTTGGAATATATGCTCTAATACAATATACAGCAGAAATAACTTAAATTTTCATCTTATACATTCACATTTATATATGAATAATGCATAATTTCTCATTGTGCTTGAAGTGTGTTTTTGCTTGACATGATTGTATTCCCAAAAGCAATGAGAAAGTTGTTGTGTCAGCTTTTTACGTGCTCAGTTCCCGATTCAGTGCATTGGGATCTACTTACACGACTCACACTACCTTTAGGATTGTTTTGTAGTATTTTTTTCATTTAAAGAGAATACCAAACTTCTATTAGAGGTGTGCCTTGGTCTGTTTATTTTCCAGATCGTTGTTGGTTTTACATACTTTATCTGCATCTTTTTCCCAAAATTCGAAGTGAAGGTGGTGTATATTAGCTTTCTGTGCATGTCATAGTGTTGCACAACAGGTGTCAAGTTAAAGTGATAAAAAAGTTTTTCTGTTAATCCACAAAGTAAAGGTGTTAAGAAGAACATGTAGTCACTTCTTTACAAACTTCACCTTGATGATCCATCTTTCAGATGGATAAATCCTGTCAGTTGTACTGTATTGAATATTGGTATAACAAGTGTGACTTTAGCTTCAGTTTGTCTGCCTTTTGCCATAATTATATGATCTTGAAAATATGTGGGGATCTTAAGATAAAGTTAGTGACTGGGAAAGCCGTCCTTTTGGATGAGGTAAATGGACTTAATTATTGAAGAGGACTGAAAAACAAACAAACAACCTCTTCATGGGGCACATGCAAATCTGACTTTATCTAGTACTCAACCAAAAAAAAAATAATCAGCAAGCATATAGCTGATTTTTACAATAAACTTTTAGTCATAAACAAAACGAAATTGTACAGCAAAATTATATTTGAGAAAATGTACCCTTATATAATCCAAAAGATGCAGTATGTTGCAGTACTGCCATGCCATCTTTTTTTTCCTTGAGAGGAAAATGAAAACAGAAAAAAAAACTAGAATTAATCTTTAAGTATAACATGAAAAGTGTCGACATTATTAAACTAAAATAACATACAGATGACTGGGAATGGGCATGACCAAGTCGAGCATACTCAAGGACTCGTTAAAAGATCAACACATTAGTTTGGTAATGAAAAAAATGCATGTATCTAGTGGAAGTTAGCATCTGTGTTTCAGTAGTCCTTATGGCTGCAAAACTTAAAAATTTGATTTGAGTCATTTGGCCGGTTTAGATCTTGATTTTTGTAGCCTTGATTTTAAAAAAGGAAAGTGTTGATGGTGTTGGCAAGGCAAAACATTTAGGTGTCAGTTGTGTTCCTGAGGGGTGCTATAAATGGTATGTAGTATTGCATAGACAAAGTTATTTGGTGTTCGTTAGTGGATACAACTATTCTTGATAGCCAAGCCATAATAGTTTGTACTGAAGTTTTTTTGTATGGTGTATTAGCTTTCAATTTTGTATTAGCTTTCAAATACGCTTGTTGTAGGATGAGGGTAAGTTTTGACAATAAGAGCTCTGATTTTAAAAGTAAGCAGTGGGAGAAGACATCAACTTGCCCATGTTTAAAAGATAAGGTAAGAATGTAAGTAACTTCACTGTTACAGTCTGAAACTTTCAAGCATTCCATCTGGAGACTGAAAACTTGACCAGAGTTGGGGCCTATTGATGCCATGGATCAATGCAAAGGACATTTTGGAAAAAAATGTAACTATGAAAAATCTCAGGAATTGGTTAGAAATAACATTTAAGAATGTCCTGATAATGTGGTAATCCAGACCACAACTTAAATCCTGCAACTCTTCTGAACAGTTGTGTTGGTCAAACACTAGCATGTACTCTGTTCTTGATGCTCCCCCTGCTGTTACCTAGCAAAAGGAAGAAACTGGAAGCTTGAATTCAAGTGCAGAGAGCCAAATCTGGATTATCTAGGAAGATAATGTTTTTGGGTAGATGGAATTGTTCATGGGGAGAATATAAAAGTGGATAGAAAGTAGGGTGGCTGAAGTGGAAGCAACAGAGTGGAACAGAAAGATTGTGATAAAGACTGAGATCAACCAGGGAATGAAAGTGGAAAAAAGGGAGAAAATAGGCATGGCTAAGCAAGGTAAACATAAATTAGGGTAGTATTTAGAAATAGAATTAAGACATGAACATATATATACAGCTATATGTATATATATACATATACATATATATACACATATATATACACATATAAAGGGATGCTGCAAGCAAGAGACAGACCTGAAATGAAATGCAAATAAAAAGGCAAATTTCCTGTTTTCCATTCTGTTTTTCTGTTAGCTTTTTTTTAAAAAAGCCAGTAAGTTTTTTGCAGAAAGCACACACAAAGACAGTCAAGTATAATTTAGTTTTTAAATAATAACATTATTTCCAACATGGGTACTTCTTCACGTGGGACTTGCTTCACAAAATGGAGGCTGTTTTGAAGATAAAAATGGATTTTAAATTAACTGGATCTGTTACAGGCAAAAAATCTACCCTCAGCTGTAACAGATTTTGAAAAATCAACGAGGCATTAAATGGAAGGAAAAAATGGTGGAGGCAGGATTGTGTCCCTGCCTGTGCAGGGTTTTTCTGTTTTTTGTTGTTAACTCAGTTGAGCGTTTTTGTCTTTATTTGTAAAATGCCTGCTTTGAATCCTGTCTATTTGAACATTCATATTTAATATACTTGCCCGAAGTCTTGTAATATATCAACTATTCAGAAAAATCCTACCAAAAATCTTCATAGTCTATACTTTACGTCATTGATGCCCTTCCAGTAATTTGTCTGCAAGTATGGGGACACTATTTCCTTACATCACATAATTCATGGGAAAATGTAAGAATGGGAAATACTGTAATAAATGAACAGTTATGAAGAAGAAATTAGAATGAAATTAAGAAACCCATCTTTTTTGTAAGTTTGGAAAAACGTTTAATACTGAAGCTTTATACCCTGTTTCTCTCAGTGTGGAAAAAGCATACGCCCTGCTCTGTTAGGTAGTTGTCCTGTAATTATTAGATATTTACTTATACATATGTTTTTTGTTACGGTTTTAAATATAAGGGAGGGCAAATTGTTTGCATTGGGCAAATTTTAATTTAGCCTGTGTGCTAAAACTTTTATGACTTAGTTTTTCAATATATATGCCCTTTTCAATATGAAAGTTCTGAGTGTCAGTAAGAACTTGTACACAATGCAATTATACATTTGTCCCTTTATTTTGATCTAAGGAGTAACTCACTGCTGGTGGTAAAAGGCAGCATGATTAATTTATTTATTGTTAATAAATAACTTCGTTTAAATTTTCATTATAATTTCAATTGCAACTTCTGAGTCTTTACAACAAAGTCTTCAATTTTAACACGCAATAACAATGAAATCTTTTTTTTTGCTTGAAACATTGTTCTAATTTAGTGTATGTTTCTGACAGAATTAAGAGGGATGTAGGTGATAATGAGAAACATAGTGTTAAACAGTTGCCAGGTATGTTTTTTGATTATTTTTTGTTTTGTGTGTAGAGGTCAATCATCTAGTTTGTCATACAGGTTTTTTCCCCTCTACGTTCCATCTTTTTTGTTCTTATTTCATTGTGTTTTGTTTTGTTTGTTTGTTTTTTAATTTAATTTAAAATGCATATATTTCATCTCAGTCACCTGACAAGTAAAATCAGACTCTAATCTCTTCTGGATTCCAAGCCTAGGGCCTCTTGGAAGGTTAACGAAGAAGTTGTATTACTTTGAATTTGGATAGAAAAGATTTTTGTGCACTGAAGTTTGTGCAGTATAAGCAAAAGTATTTGTAGTATGGGGGCCTTCAATCTTTTAGATGATTAATATGTGGTATGCATGCAAATGTCAAATAATTTTTAATAATGTGGCAAGGGTAATTATATTTTATTTGTTTATATACAACTACTACATACATTTGAGACCATAGTCAGTGTGGTTGTACTTACCACACTGTACTTGTTTATTTTTCTAAGGAATTCAAGTACAGTGATCCTTCATTATTTATGAAATGCTGGCCTGCTGTGCAGTCTAGGCAACATTCATTCAAGATTCACA